TGCCCGTGCCCCGCGGCTCCGACATGTCCCGAGCCGGGCGCCCCCCCGCGGCAGTGCAGAGCACCCCTGGGTGCTGCCATCCGGGAAGCCTGTAGGAGCCAGGTGGTACGTTGATTGTTGCATTTACACGCTTGGTTCTTCTGTTTTCGGAGGGCCCCCAACCGCAAGGGCTGCTGGAGACGAAGGAAGAGAGTTGGACAAACCGTAACCTTGGGGTCAAACCCTTGCAGCAGCGCTCGCTCCTCCCGGCTGTCACGGTGTGAGACTTGGAGCAGGCGTGTGGGAGTTTTTGGTCCTTTCTTTTTTGCTCCCTGTTCCCTCAGTCTGAGGAAAAGCATTCCTCCCATGTGGCGAGACAAGCCTGCCGCACCCGCTCCGAAGGGAGCCAAAAGCTTCAATAACAATTAACTATTATTATTTATTCCCGACACTTTGTAACATCTTTCCTTCCATTTGTTTTAATATTGACACAGCTGCTTTAGTTTAACAATAATAATGAGGACTTAACAGTAATAATATTGAGACTTCTTGAATCAAAACACATTTGACAACCAAATCAATAAAAATGTAGCCCTTCAGGCCTGTGCAGGCATCATCTCACAGATGTCAACAGTGTAAAGTCAAATCCGGTTTTGGGACGTACCTGTTAGCTTCCTTCTGAAATGAATGGCCATCCTGGGGAAGGCAGTTGCCAAAATTCATGAGTTCCTGCCAAAGGTGAAGGGTTTAACTAGGTTTGAACAAAGACTGGTTTATTAAAGAAAACTCATTTGTATTGTCAAAAATAGACATTAATTTCAGACATGGGTAAAACTAAGGAAAGCTGAAGTGACTTAGAAGCATAAGGTCCATGATTTAGGAGCTTGATCTGGCTGCAAGTCAGTGGGTCTTATGTTTTAGGCACTTTTGAAAATTTTACCCTTTGTATTTAAATTGCAGATTTAAAAAAAAAGAAGCGATGACATGATAGGGACAGAGGAAAGAGACTTTTATGAAAAAATGAATTATATTTGAAGCAATTTCATTTTCTAGCAGTTTTTCAATTTCTCACTTCAAATTTGTAGATCCCTCCCCCCTGTAATCCAGGAAAAATACTTTCTTGGTTTCGTGATACATTTGCAGAACAGTGAGGATGGCATTATATGGTGATAATTTAGCACCTCTCTAATGTTTTCATCCATAGTTCAAAATTAATTTTAAAAAAAGGGGAAGAAGCATCTTTGTCCTCATTTTATGGCTGCAAAATTGAGGTACAGAACAATGAATTGACCTACTCAAAACCACACTGGTCCTATTCCAAAGTCTGTTAAGTTAATAACTGCTAATTTCTGAAGGCTTTGGAGCAGGCCTGCACTGAGTAACTGGTAAAGCAGTGAGTGACATCCAGGTCTTGACTGCCAGGCATGTGTCCTATCTACTAGATGTTGGTGTGAAATTATGCATGCTTACAGGCCCTTGCAGCGCTCTTGGATTCTACTATACCATGGTTACTTTACAGTGAATTATAGTTCATGACAACACAAACACTCCTGAACAGAACTTGTAGGAAAACAATACATAAGGTATTTGCAAAAGCCCTGTCCATGCTAATCTACCCTTTATTACTTTGAAAATGTATAGAACATATTTTTCTATTTAGAAGCACGTTAGAATCTATAAATTAAATTTAGTGTCTTGCGTGGTGGCAGTGATGATGAAGTGAGTGTTGCTACACTTGTATGTCGGAAGCATGAGCGCCAGAAAGCCAGCAACGATCAACATTAATAAGGCCTTGGGCACCCAAAGAAGGGCTGTAAAGGCATTCATTCGTAAATTATGTGGTTGGCCCTCTGAGCTTGAGCACCACAGCTGCAGCCAGCATTGTTGGACAGGCCTCAAGGGTATATGCTTTTCTTATACCATCTGATGCCCCTTCTGAGATGGTTAAGAGCAGTCCAGGCCCTGCGGGGCAGCTGCCATCCTGAGGGGTGGAAGCTGGTGTTAGGGATGAAGTTCTTTAGCCGCAGTTCTTGCACAGCATGTTTCCTGCTCCATTGATGGGAGGTCCATGCCGTAGGTGCTGTCTGTGCCATCTGCAGATTTGATGAGCTTATTGGCCTGAGTGGAGAATGGGATCCGAGACTTCTGGCAGTACTTGGTTTTCTGGCTTGCAGCTACTCAGCTGGAGTGCAAAGAATAGTTTGGATCTCGGGCTTTGAGGCCTAGGGCCAGGGCCTGGTGGTTTTCTCACTTCAGCTGAAGCAAGGACATTATAACACCTGCTTCAGTAAACATTGTGCATTTGTGGCTCACAAATAATATGCTGCCCCTGAAACTTTGTCATGGCCATAGAAAAATTTGCTTTCCACAGAATATGTTTCTTCAGATTCATAGGGAAAGCAAAGTATGGATGTTGCTTGAAGTGCCTTTCTTGTTCAGTATTGCTGTTAACAAAAGTTGCGGATCACCATGGTCTATGTAAAATGCAAGTTGTAAACCAAGTTACAACCAGTAAAAATAAACTCTGTGGGGGGGGGGGGGGGGGGTTTTAACTTTTCTAGATTTGAGTGAATCCTGGCAACCACAGACCTGAATCATTGGCTCAGAACCCTAAGTCACCGAGACCTGATTCATAATCATGAGCACAGTTATTTGTATACATATTATACTTTTTGAGCCTTTTGCTGAGGTATCCTCAGTGATTCTATCCTTTGCACCTTCATTTAGCAGACACCTATCACAGTTTTACTGCAGTTTTAGGAGATGGAACTTAATTACAGTAATGTTTTTAATAGTACATTAAAGTAGTAGATTTACTGCGCAGTGCTCAGAGCACCTTGATGGTGCCAAATGTTTGCAAATATTGTAATTTGGGGTACCCATGAAATTGCTGCTTCTGTTATTTTAATCAGTTCATATAGGATGTAAGAGTGATGGAACAATGTGATACACTGGCCTCTACTTTCACTTAATAAAATTTTAAGCATGCCTTCATAGAAAAAACGGAGAGAAAGCTGCAGCTAGTGTAGTATATTTTTGTGTGTGTACACACACACCTTTATTTCACTCTCTGTCTCGCGCACACACACACTCTCTTCTTTATTTCACTGGAAGTTAATTTCACCAGTTATTTAATTAGTCAAACAAATTAGTCAAAGCTGAGGCTTGAAAAGGTTTAAGAAGAACTGATTTGCATACATATATTGCAGCTTGTTAATACTGCCTCTCTGGCTATCAGGAAGCCTTGGAGAGTAGTTTTCTTTTTTAATAAATATAATACCATTGGGTTAATGTGGTGTTACGTACAAGGTTTTATTTTAATGTCCATCTAGGGATTATGGAATACTAAAATCCTGAGTGAATTAAATTTATTGACACAGTCAAACTGTGTCAAGTAATATTTACAGTGGCTCTTAAAAAAAATCTCAGATTTCTGTTTATGTACTTTGAAGTCTCAAAGTACTAATGTGAAAGAAAGCTCTTTAATCACAAAACTTTTTGCATTTGTACTTCATGTAGTTATTTTTCTCCAGTGTGAAATTTCTATTTCTTTCAAAGCAAAGAACCAGACTTTTCTAAAATGTTAAGATAGCAGGTAAGGATTTATTTTGCAAAAGCAGCCTTCCTCCTCTTTGAAATATCTTACTCCATAATGAAACACCCTGTTGAAATCCAGGAGGTGAGTTCTTCCTGGTTCCTTGATTCCCTTGGAAGTTAGAACTAGGTATAAAATAAAAAGCCAGAAATTAATATAATTTTCTATGTTGCTATGAAATAACACTCAGTTTTTATTGGCTAATCATTTTATCAGACAGTAAGCTTTAAGCCTAAAATAAATACATTTTTTCATAGTGAGGACATATGTATATAAACATATGTGCATTTACAAATGTATATCATGAGACCACTGATAAACGATAATTCTATTTTAATATTTTCAGATGACACTACTTTCTTAATTCTGATATAGTGGCAACATGAATTCATTACATATTTTGAAGGCGGCAAAGTAGATTTGCACTTATAGACTAACTAAATCATAAATGCATAAGCTTTCGTAAGCATCAGCTTGCTTCATCAAATGCTAAAAACAGCCTTATGGTTAAATCACAAAAATCAAGAAACTTCCTATAGGAAGGTTATTCCATATTCCCATCCATAAAGAGATGATAATATTTGTCTTCTGGGAATGATGAGATGATTCCAACTAGCCGCATGTGGTTCCCAAAGTGTTGACGTGCAGTCCCTGGATCAGGAGATCCAGGCACCACTCCCCTCTTTGTTCTGCTGCCAGAACCTCCAGGCTCCCTCTCACTCAAGCTTCTTGTGCTTGTTTCCGCCCTTGGGGAAGGGCAGAGATGCCTGGCCCATGGGGTTGGGGGAGCTCATAGCCAGGGGGTTCAGGGAACCCAGGGACTTTACCCATGATCCATGCCCATGCAGTGAAGGGGAGTCGCCTACATGGCATTTGTGACCCCCACAGCATTTGCCTGGGTTGTGTGTGGCCCGTGTGGTGTGTGACTGGGAGTCCTGTGGCCACAAGCCATTCAAAAATAGAGCAGCCCTGAAAGGATTGATTCTTTTATGTGGTAATGCTCTGTGATCTATTTTGATATATTTTGATCTTTTGAAGGAATTCACTGGTAAAGTGCTAAACATTATTTTGAATTTTGTTATAGCGATATATCATACACAAAAACTATATTAAATAAACATATTAAGATTGCAAAGTTTAGTTAGTCCAAAGGTAAGAATTGATAGAATTAAGGTTATATATGAAAATTTAATTTAACCCATCTGTGCATTTGCATTTTATTACAGGCTTTAATTATATGATCACATACTATTTTTTTCCACAGGTTCCCTGATTTAGTATGTGCATAGAATGGGGGCAGGCAAAATACAGCCTGGAGGCCAGATCCGGCCCACCAGGCAATTTCATTTGGCCCGTATCACCAGTTAATTGTACCCTGCTCAGCCCATATACTTCACTCCTACCCTCATGCACGAGAGGACCCCAGGGTAGCCAGAACGCACAACTTCCAGGCAGGGCCGCAGCTGCCACTGCTGCAGCTGCTGGGGGACCTGCTTGGCTTCCCTGGCCTGAGGTGACTCCTCCTCATGTC